TGTGCAGCTACTGTGTACACCAGGGAGAAGCTCTGTTTGAGTGAAAACACTCACCATTCTGGCACCAACCACTGCGATGCCAAGGCAACCATGGAAAGTGTAAGAAAAAGATGAGTGTTGTTGCTAGATGCTGTGAAGTTATCAGAACAATATTGTAGCAGGTCTTATTTTATCTCTTGAATATCGCTAATTCCTACTCAAGAGACATTTCCATTTGGAACAAAAGAAGTGGCCTCTGTTATTTTCCACAGCGGGCCGGATCTGGGGACTGTGCCTCCTATGAGAGTGCACCTGCCTGAGTAGAACTACCTTTTCAGGGGTGGGAGGGGGGAACTGACTAATTAATTGCTGGGTGCTTTTTTTTTTTTTCTGGAGGCCTTTTCTTTGGTATCTTGATGACACCCATTAGATGTACTTGCTGTATTCCTTTTATTATGTTCCCTCGATGACATATGTTCATATGTTAATGACAATTTTATAGGATTATCAGTCCGAGTACTTCAATTCTTTTTGTTATTACAGAAAGAATAAGCCTCTTCTCAATCTCACTTATGGAGCTGTGCTTAATTAAAACTCTTGCTAAACTACTTATTACCAAAGGAACTTAACTTTAAAAATCCCTTGTTCCGGTGTGGACCCATAGGCATACAAAGACACTGTTTCAGCCAGCACCTGTTCTGGAGCCCTTTGAAGAGACACACTCCTTGTCCTGAGGCTTGTCAGATGTCTACATTTGTAGACATGTTGAGGGCAGGTGGAGATTCTTGGCCTTTAGTATTTTATGGATGAATGGTCTCAGCTGAAATTTTTTTTAAAACATGCTAGTGAGTCATACAAAGAGGTGACCTTTTGGCATTCAATACAGTGACCCCCTCCTACAGTTTTTTTGATGCTTCACCCTTAGGCAATGTCTCCATGTGCATTTTATGCCCTTCTGCCTCTTCCCATGCTGGGCTCAGAGAAGTGGCTAAAATGAACACATCCCTGAATAGACGCAAAATAACTATTGTTTAATATTTCCTCAATGTCACTCTCGATAGACTGGGGCTGGCTTAAACATAACTGGTCAGGAATCGTTTTTAAGTGCAACACCAACCCCAGCAGGCAATGAGCTGTGAGCCTTCAGATGCCACCGGTGCTCCTAGGCACTTGCTCTTCCCGGGTTTGTCGCCCTAATATTTACCACAGGCGTAATTCATGCAAGAGAGTAAGATGCTCAAAATGTGACACATAATTACAGAGAAAGAGATGGCTGACTCGCAAAAAACTCCTACTTCACCAGCTAAGCAACTTCTGTGGTCTTAATTAAAGCCACCGAGTGGGTTTTCTTGAGTAAGCTTTTGCTGTGCAGTTTAAGCTAAAGAAATATGATAAACATCTACTTGAAAAGTCTAAAATCCCGAGAGGACTTGCGCAGTCAGGTCACTCTATGGGTTTCTTCTTTCTATGCTTCCCATTCCACCCTTGGTGCTGGAGAAGGTGGGCCACCTTCCCAGCCTGTCTTTATTGTTTGTTTCTAAGCTATGTCAACCCTGGGGTGCTTTCTAAATATGTTCCATTCCTTCTTCAAGTCATCACATCAGGATTGAGTATCCCTATCCCGTCAATGTTGCAACTGAGAATTCGGCCAGTTAGTGACTTGCTGCTGGTGTCTATACGGAGGTAGTTAGTGGTAGAACTGAGATGTGCCGTGGGTTTTCTTCCCACCAAAGCCACACTTCAAACCACAGCTCATGCTTTCTTGAGATTGCTGGCACAAGTGAGGAATGATCAAAGCGACTGAGTCAAAAAGTCTCTGTGCTAAGTGACATTGGAATGTCAAAGTACAGCATAAAATATCTGTTGTTATCCGTCAAGAGCTTATCTTGTCCTTGACTACAGAAAATAGTGCGTTACACAGAATTTTCAAATTGTGGTATGCTCACATTTCGTGTGTCCCTGGCCTGCCATTAGAGGATGGGGATGACAATCCCTTGGTCCTCTTTCCCTGCCACAGCCTGCCACAAGTCCCCACCTGTCTCTGAGCTAGTGTGTCAGGCATCCCTCCCCTCCCCTCATCTGCCCACCCCGTGCCATGGAAGTGTGCACAAAGAAGGATTTCATCTGGTGTACAGGAAGAAACCTATAGAGTAGCATTAATTGGGATAAGGAGATTCCTCACCTCACAGAGGAGAGGAATAATGGTTCCCCAATTAAGAAAACTTTTTTTTTTATTTTAAATAAAATGTAAGATAATTAAGAACGTGTAGACAGATTCTTCATTCCCAGCTTTCTCTGGGAAGGGCAATTTGAGAGTAAGTGTGACAGGAAGCATACCCTTTACCACCCTGGAACAGGGGTGTGCACTTTATTTTTGGAGAAACCCTGTGTAAGCATTAATGAGTATTGGTTCCAATTATAGGTTCTTGGTTTTATACTTGTTCTTGTAATCGTGGACTTGATGTTTTTATGTTTTGGTGTATAGAATACCAGACCTTGTACCGGGGAGTGTCCAACCTGCCAAGCAGTCAGCCCATGTTTGCCTTGCAGAATATACGTTCTTAGGAATGCTGACTGACCCCGTCCATTCTTAGGGATGCTGACTGACCCCGTCCGTTCTTAGGGATGCTGACTGACCCCATCCATTCTTAGGGATGCTGACTGACGCTGTCCGTGTGTCTGGAGGAGCTGTTAGGGTCTGTTCACCTCCATGGTTTTATTTGCCATGTGCTTCATGGCGTCTGTTCTCATAGACTGGAGCTTGGCCCCTTCCACCTCCCACTCTCCAGCTAAAGGAAACAGTTTGTGGAACAGGAGAGAGCCTGTCATGTTTCCATAAAGAAAAAAGTAATAACAGTTTGCTTTTTTTTTTTTTTTTTTTTTTTTTTTGAATACATTTTTGGCTGATGGGGGTATAAAGGAACATTTTGACTCCAAAATCTTACTTTCCTTTTCTACATTTCAAGACATAAACAACTGACATTGTTTTTGGACATAGACTACAAAGAGTTTTTATTGTTTAAGTCCTTTTGGTGTGTGTGTGTTTGTGTGTATGTGTGTGTGCTTGTGTTTTGAGACAGAGTTTCTCTGTAGCCCTGGCTACCCTGGAATTCACTCTGTAAACCAAGCTGACCTCAAAGATCCACCTGCCTCTACCTCCTAAGTGCTAAGACTAAAGATGTTGCACATCTTAACACAATTTACTTTGAAGAGTGATTATGCTTTATTACAATATGTGGATATTTCTGAGAAATATTAATTTAAAATTATTTCACAAGAGTGTGTGTTTTTCTAATGATATTAACATGGCTACCAACAAACTACTTCTTTCCACATTAGTCACGATATTGGAGTTTGTAGACGCAATGTTACTTCTGGCTTAGTGCAAATAGGTCTATAAATTTGCAAGCCAGTTTAGCATGTAGCAAGTTGTTTCTGACACACTGCAATTAGAAAGTATGACTTCGTTAGATCTTTTGTTTTGCAGGTGTTTTATTTTTGTTTTGCTTTGTTTTATATTTTGTTTGGTGGTAACAGGGATTATAGTACTTGCACGTGCCAGCCAAGCAACCCTGGCCAAGGTGTATTTATAGTCTTCTTTGAGTTTTTATGTGTTGTTTGGGTTTTTTGTTTTGTTTTGCTTTGTTTTTAATTTGGGGGTTAGGGTCTCACAAAGTGGGCCCAGGCTGGCTTTGAACACACACTACAATGTAAACCTCTTGCCTTGGCCTCCTGAGTAGCTAGGATTACAGGTTTATGTAATCAGGGTTGCCTGTTCTACTGTTTCCATGGAGAAAAGGTGATTTTTTTTTTTTTTCCTGACAACACCTCAGGTAATGCTTGTCTGCCATCAGTTCTCAAGTGTGGAGTAAACCTCTAGCTGCTGAATTGGCACTGCACTAGATTAAACAAGGGTGCTCTGAAGGGGCGCGGATTCCTCAGAGCCCTCATTCGGCGCTCCCTGGATGTCCTGGGGAAATGTTTGCATTGCATATAGTTGCCTCCTCCTTTCCAAACAGTGCTCCTCTTTAGCAGTTACAGGGTGTCTAAGCTGGAAGGAAGCTCAGGTTCAAACCAGACTTCACGTGCACGCTTGAAAATAGTATTTCTAAGATGTGGAATGTTTATTACATGCATCTTATAGTTTCATTATATCACTACCTTATGGTTTCAACTAGAGAGTACATGCCTTTGGAATTAAAAGTAAGAATGTTAAATTAATGTGTTTAATTGTATTTGCTTTGTTCTTGGTTGGACCTTAAGAGTATAGCCTGGGTCAGAATATTATATACATTGAAGAATATGTTTTAGTAGGACCTTCAGAATAGACGGCATTAGACTGAAAAATGTTAAGTCCCATATATTTCTGTTTTTTAAAAGTATATCATTTTATTTTAAAAGAACCAGTTTTTGTCCTAATTTCTGTGTCAGAGTTCTAAATGCAAGTTTTAATAAATTGTTTGCATTTTTAGACTATCCAAGGCCTGTTTATTTCGGAATTAATCTACTCTTGCTTTAAAAAAGGTGAATTCGCTTCAGTGGAATTGACCTGGTCAGGGCAGGAAAAGCTTCCTAGAGATGGGGTATACACCAGTGGCCAGTCTCAGCTTTAACCCTAGTCTTGGGGCTGAGAAATAGCAAGAGATTTGATCTCATGATGCAGACTTTAGAAAAAGTTTAGTTCTTTGAGTCTTACCAAAGAGTACACGTATTCTTCTTGTTATTACTTCTGAAGGTATATTCCAAGCTGTAGTTGGAATTTTCAGTAAGCATATCTTCCAGAATAGTTCATCTTCATAGCATTGTTACCAGTAAAATTCTTTCTGACCAGCAGCCACTGAGGAAGAAAGTGAGCACTTACGGGTGTCATTGGTGTTAGCTGCTTTGTGGTGGAATTTCATCCTTTAACATTTAGTGGTACTATCCATTATTACATTAAGGAAAAACAGTTGCTAAGATGCAGTTCTGAAATGCTTTAAAATTCTTCTGTTACAAAATACTGAGATAGCTGTTTTTCTCAGGGAACATCGTGCTGGTGACGTCAAAGAAGACTCTGCAGAGAAAAGAGAAAATCAAGTGAGGACATCAGCTGAAGCCAAAGGTATCATCATTGGTTATTACCACAAATATTCAGGAACCAAAACCTCCACTGTAGCCCAGGGATGTATCCCCATGGCAGAGCAGTGCCTAGATGCATAAGACAATGGGTTTGATTCTCAGCACCACAAAATAAGTAAAAATGAAGAAAAACAACTGTAAAACGACAATCACAGTGCACTGAAGATAAACTTGATTTGTTTTTTTCCTTCATGGAAGACAAGAGAAGTCTGGCATGAGAAAACAGACTTCTGTATGTAGCCCGTGTTCGTAGTTTTCTTTCATGAATTGGTGCAGCATCAAATGTAAGGTTTGGAAGACATTCTCTTTGGTTCTTGCCACACATTTTCTTTAGTATTGCTGGCTTCACTTGCTTCAAATGTGTTTTGAAATCTAAACAGAACATCCTCTTGATGTAAAAGTACAAAATGAAAGGAAAATCACTTGAACGAATGTTTGATAGAGTAAGTCATTCTACTTCAAAGTCATCCTACAGATGGAAATTATAATTTGCTTATAGTTGGGTAGTTATTGTTTATTTTCCTTATTAAAAATGCTAATCTGGCTGTCACTGTGTTGCTTGTTCCTGTAGACTTTCCTTCTCATGTGTGTTTTCTTGTTTAGATAATTTTAGGGTTGAGGAATGGAAACTAATGACTGCCTGTAATGAGAGCCTGATTATTATAGAACGGTAATTAATGATTACACTGAAAACTGTGTACAAGGTGATGTTCAGCATGGTTTATGGTAGATTAGTAATTAATGATTACATTGTAATCTGTTTACAGGGTGATGTTCAGCTTAGTTTATGGTCCATGCTGTAGCATTAGGTACAGATGCCACAGTTGACCAGGCATACTCTCTCCTTTCCTATGTGCCCCTGTGTGGCTTTGACCATGGCATTGAGGCCACTGGGTGCTTCTGTTCCTTGTTTGTCCGGAAGAATACTGTGGTATATGTTCATGAGCTTGCAAGGAAGATTAAGAGAATAACAGTGTTCCTTGCTTAGCATATGCCTATCCCATAATAAGCCCTACATGAGAATTTGATTATCTACAATATTACTTATAATTTAAGGGTGTTTTATTAATTTATAAAGAGATATATAACCTATAAGGGTTTGTCATTTGGACTTCTTATATAAAGAATTCAGCTCTTCTTTATCAGAAGTCAAGAGTAGGCCTTACATTCAGGCCTCAGCTTACTTGTACTGTCTGGGTGTCTGTGCCCCGCTTTCCTCCTGTGTAACCACACCTCCTTCACAGTGTGTTAGAAGCTTCCCTGGAGCTTACAAAGATCCTTAGACTCTACTGCACATGAGTCTATGCTCTTCAGAATATTTTGTAGGATTTTTTTAAATCAGCAGTTTGATGGTGATTGTTTCCTTTTTGAATCAGTTTTTACTCCAAAAGAAGTCCTTGTGTATTTTGTGAAGAACCCATGCTTCTTCCATTTGGGCCTCAGCAGAACTTTAGGGTGAAGCCGATCCGGTGTGGCGCGATCCTTGCTGGGCCCACTGTCCACTCTACAGTGTTCATGTCCAGTCTGTTCCTTGGGGGTGCAGCTGCCCTACCCAGCCTAGCCTAGCCTTCTGCCTCTGGGGAAACAGTGCAGGAACAGCACTCACTGAAGGGACCTGAGAAACAGTCACACACAACTTCCTTCTAGTTTCAGTAGGATCTCAGCTTCCAGGGCCCACCAGGACTATTTTGTTTGGAGTCTTGGAACAAACTAATTGTATAAAAAAGCAAAAAAAGGAATTTCTTCCTAAAAAGCAAAAAAGACTCAGCTCTTTCCAGTCAGTCCAGAACAGTGTTTAATCGTGATCTCTTTTTCTATACTGTTTCTGAACTTGACCTTGGAAAACTGACTATAATTTGCTCCTTTTTTTCCTATCTTCTTTACTTGAAAAGAGAAATACCCATTTCCACCATTGTGGAAAAGCCTACACAGTGGTGATTCTGTAAACTGGCCTTTCCCTGGCATCCTTATGTCCTAGGGATGGTACAGTTCCTTGTTCTCTCTAGAAGCATTCTCTCTCATAGGATACTCCTGTGCAAAAACTGAAGGCTGTTTAGTAACAGATGAGATTTTCCTGGGGAAATTGAATGTCATTTTGGCCTCTGCAACAGTTATTATTTGGATTTTTAATATTGGAATTACCCTCAGATATTTTTTCAGTGCCTGAATTTAAGTAATCTGGAAGTCAGTTGTATTTCTGTTCTTGGTGATTTCAATCCATTTGTCTTATGAAACATTTTTTTGTTCACCCTTTTTCCATTTATTCATCAGTTTTCAACAGATGTATCCCATTCTGTCTGCCTTTCTTCCTTTCTCATTAAAAACATCTTTTATGGAATATCAGCCTAGATGGATTATTGACTCATTTTCACTTTTACTACTTTGAATCTAAAAGACTGTCGATTATTTTTATTCCTTTCAAGATAGAAGTAATTTCTACCACCTGCCAAGCACTGTATGCTAGGATAAGCATCAAGAAAAACCCCATGCAGTTCTCCCAGTAGTTGTTAAATTGACTTCACTGGGATGATAGAGCAGAGGTCTAGATTGTGTTTACCAGACTTCAGCACACAGCAGCTTAGTCAGGACCCTGTTGTTGAAAGTTCTGGGATGACAGCCTTCCACTTCTCCCTCTGTGTGATTTTGGTGTGCTGTGGCTGCACCGCTGTCCCTGGTTATAGATAGCACCATCATAGCATTCATTGTTTGCCACTGCAGTGACGGGAGATGCTTGCTTCACTTCGGTCACTGGCTTAGAAAAAACAGGAAGTTTTAACAAACCAAGTAAAGTGTGTGAGCAAAGACTATGGTCATATGGCTTTGATCAATTTCACTTTAGGAAATTCCAAACTATGGAAAATTCCTTGGAAGTGTTGCTTTTCACTCAGGTAGATGGGGTAAGTGGAAGGTAATAAGAAATAGAGCCGTGGTGAGAGACGAGCGACAGAAGTTGTTACGAGTGGGTTTTCCCACCGGCCTGGTCCCACAACTCCACCAGCCCCAAATAACACACAGAGACGCTCGCTGTATTAGATATAAGGCTGTTGGCCAATTACTAGTGTTTCTTATCAGCTAGCTCTGTCTTAAATATTAACCCATTTCTATTAATCTAAGTATTTCCACGTGGTCTTGGCTTACCAGGGAGAAGATCTGGAGTTCTCCTGTCTTGGTCCTACATGTTGAATCTCCTCCCTATTACTTCCTGAATCCTCCTTGTCTCCTAGTCCCACCTATCTTGCTTTCCTATTGGCCAACGGTGCTTTATTTATTAACCAATAAGAAAAACATATTTCCAGAATGACATCTCCCATCAGGAAGTGCCTTCCAAATTGAATGCCTGTGCTTTCTGAAGCACTCCGCATTCTTCAGGCCTCCTCGTGTCCTTACTCTCACCTTTGTGCCAGCCATTGCCACCAAAGCTACTCGCATTCATTCTAGTCTGCATTACATGCTGCATAACATCTTGGAGCCACTTCCTGAGCACTTTAAGGAATCAAATAGTCACTTGGGTGAAGATGCTTTCTCTATCCCATTTGGATGAGAGTCATAGGAGAGAGTGTATTTTATGATTGATGAATACCACAGTTCCCTCTTAGAAATAATACTGGTGTCCAGCATCAGATATACAGAAGAAACTGCTAGAGGAAGGAGTATCTGAAAGAGAAAGCCACAGACTCACTCATTTCTTAAACTGGGTTTTGATCCCTTTGGGGTCAAGTAACCCTTTTACAGGGTGGCTTAAGACTTTGGAAAAACAGATATTTTCATAAAAATTCATAATAGTATCAAAACTACAATTGTGAAATAGCAATGAAAATAATTTTATGGTTGGGGTCACCACGAGATAAGGAGCTATATTAAAGGTTCACAGCGTGGGAAAGTTGAGAACCATTGTGCTAGTAGAATCAGTTGTTTATGCTTATAGTACCATCTTCAAGACTTCAGACCACAAGTGTTGGAGCTTCACTTGTTTAGTTAGTGGTTGTTGGCTTTCTGAAAAGCACTAGAAACAAACTGTGAGGGATGTAGCTTTCAGCAGGCAATAGATGAGTAGTGATAGAGTGGAATGTCAGCACAAACAATCATAGGATGGAATAGAATGTGCTTTTTTTAGAAGACTTACGTAAGACAAATTATAAAGCAATCTCTATCCTGTTGCTCTAGTGTGGAGACAAAACCTTACTATAGCCTTGTGTGTGTATTAGAAATATCTGAGATGAAGTCCAGGTTATCCATTTTCTCCCATATTGTTCTTAAGTATTGGGGGTCAAACCTGGGTTCGTATACATTTTAAGCAAACACTGCCACAAAGTTGTGTTCAGCCCCACCCTATTTTGCTAAGCAAAATATTTTAACTTAAATAATTTAACAAATGTGGTTTAAATAAAAAGAATAAAAATAAATGTGGTGGTCTATGATAAATATTCAGTAAAAATAGAATAAGGACCCAAGACCTAGATTCAATAAAGCATGGAGAGAGGTATCATAATATCTGTGATTGTGCCTTTTGCATCCATCTTCTAACAAATAACAAAACATTATTCTTCCTGAGGGCTGAAATAATTACCATCAGGCATATACACCACATTTTCTTTAGCCCCTCCTTTGATGTTGGACACCTAGATTGGTTCCATAAGTTAGCGATTGTAAATAGTTTTGCTGTGAACATTGATGTGCAATGCCTCTAATGTGTTCACTGAATGTCCTTCAGTAAAAGGCAGGGAGACCCGGGTCATAGTTCTTTAAGAAACGTCCATACTAGGTCAATAGGCATTGAGCTGATTCCCACCAGTGGGGTCTGAGGGTTTCCTTTTGTCTGCTCTATGCCTGCATTTTTTTTCCCCCTTAATGACTGACACTCTGAGTAGATCCAGATGAAATCTCAGTGTATTTTTGATTTGTCTTTTTTTGATGGCTAGTGAGGTTAGTTTGAGCATTTTCATATGTTTATTGGCTATTATATTTACTCATTTGTGAGTTGTCTGTTCATTTCATTTGTACATTTATTAATTGGACTTTTGTTTCCTTGTTTGGTTCTTGTTTTTGTCTTTGTTTGTAGTTCTGTCTGTATAGATATTTTCCATCATTCAGCGGGCTTCCTCTCTACTTGGTGAACTTTCATTGCAATTGTTTTTTTTGTTGTTGTTGTTGTTTGTTTGTTTGTTGATTTTCGAGATAGGCTGTCCTGGAACTAGCTCTGTAGACCAGGCTGGCCTTGAACTTCAATAGTTTCTTATCTCCTTTAAAAAAAAGTCGATGGCTATGTATGTATCACTGTGATAAGTAACTTAGCTGGGACAAGTCAGGAGAAGCAACCATCTGTGAACAAATTGCAACAGCTGTAGATTGCCAACTGCTGCCATTGTGTCATCTAAAGCATAGGGGAAGAGACAGACTCTCTGAAAGAGGGAGTTCTGTTGGGAAGCGCCATTGAGGGGGCTGGAGAGGTAGCTGTACACACAATAAATAAAACCTTAAAGAAAGAAAGAAAGAAAAGAAAAAGAAAAGTACCATTGAGCAACACCTGATACCCATATCCACCTCCCTGATGTCATTATCTGGTGGGATGCCTGGCATGTGGGGCTGTCCTACTGCCTTTCAGATACAGATCTTCTTTTCTTTTTTTCCCATTGACCAGTTGTTCGGGAGGAGCCTACCCACACTATACAACAGGCTCAGCAGGTACAGCAGGCTCAACCAGTACAGCAAGTACAGCAGGCTCAGCCTGCCCAGCAGCCTCCACAAGCACAGCTGCCTCAGCAGACACTGAAGGCTCAACAGACCCAGCAGCCTCAGCAGGCCCAGCCTCCTCAGCAGCTTCAACAGGCTCAACCGACTCTACAGCCTCAGCAGGCCCAGCTGCCTCAACAGACTCCGCAAGCTCAGCAGACCCCGCAGGCCCAGCAGCCTCAGCCCACTCCTCAGGCCCAGCAGGCCCAGCAGGCTCAGCGGAGGTCAGCTGTCTTTCTCTCCTTTAAGCCCCCAATTCCTTGCCTGCCCTTGCGCTGGGAGCAGCAAAGCAAGCTTCTTCCGACCGTTGCTGGAATCCCTGCCAGTAGAGTTTCCAAGTGGAGCACAGATGAGGTTTGTTCACTTTCATTATTTCATTTTGTTATCTTGTGTGGTCTACACGGATATTGGCATCATGAGTGATAGATGCATTGATTGGGTAATATCTGGTCTTTCGGAGAGATTAGAGAAAATTTGTTTTGAGGGAACCCCCTAAGCTATATGTTTCAAATGTTTTTTGAAGCTGCAGCATTTGGTTCCCAACTTCTTTTTTGTTTTTATTAAAAACTTGGAATCTTGATGTTGTTTTTGACAGGTGTCAGAATTCATTCAGAGCTTGCCTGGGTGTGAAGAACACGGAAAGGTGTTTAAGGATGAAGTAAGTGTTCCACCATATTGCAATACGTTTCTTAATGGTGTCAAATCGCGGAGATGCATCAGTGGACATATGTGTTAAATTAGCAGTCGGGAAGAGATGGGTGCTATCAAAGTAGACAATTGGTGTGTAGTTGCATTACAAGCGGCACTGACCGCTGGAATAAAATGTATTATAGAAGATGAGATCCAAAGGAAAGCTTATACGAAGCATTTCATGATCGGGCACAGTAGCGATAGGCTCATTATAAAACTCCCCACAACACTGAATAGCATGTTCTTACATAGTTTATAGCACAGAAATAAATCACAGCAAGAAATTAGCAGTGCTTTACTATGGAGAGGTTATTTTTTCTCATTACTTAAGTTTCATACATCATCCTAACAGTATCAAGACTGACTCCATCTGATGGTCAGAATAAATACTACTGCTATAGCCAGGAGCAGCCTTACCTATGTCTCAGTAATATGTGTAAGAACAGGGATTTATTACCGTCTACCCTGAGATTATCTTTTGAAAAAGTATTTATTCAAATTAGTGTCCAAAGTAACAGGCTTCCTTATGGCATTTTACATATACTTTTTTTGGCTAATGCCTTCCCTCACGGGGTCCCCTCATCTCCCTGTCCACCCCGACCTGATCTCACTCACACCCCAATATTCGTCATTCATGATCTATGGTATATGCCTTCTTAAGACTGCTGTGAAGTCAGCTTATAGTACAGCACATTGCTTTGGATATCCCCACAACAATTCATCTGGTTAATCTGTATGCTTTTGTGTTTTCTTTTTTTCCTTCCTTTATTTCAGCAAATTGATGGAGAAGCGTTTTTGCTCATGACCCAAACAGACATTGTGAAAATTATGAGCATTAAGCTGGGCCCAGCTCTCAAAATTTTCAATTCTATCCTGATGTTTAAAGCGGCAGAGAAGAATTCCCACAATGAACTGTGAAGATGTTGAATTTGGGTACCATCAGCTTCCGCTTTAATGCTCATCACGTTTATTCAAAGCACAAGGATGGTTCTAGCTCCTGAGAGAGAAGTCTCCAGGACTCACAAGAGCAGCACTATGTATGGGATTCCATCCGTCCCTCCAGACTGCATATGCATTCTTAGGAAAGGCCTGGGCTGTCCAGCGCTGTCCAGCAACGGTCATCTTTCAGTTCTGCTCACTGAGCTAAACTTACCTTTGTAAATCTTTTGGAGGTGGGAGGAGGGTGGGGAAAGGGGGGCTTCATTATTTATGGATGGGGGGGCAAAATAAGAACTTTTGGCATTTTGTAAACATTGTTGGATTCTCTTTCATGTACACTTTCTGTTTTTCAATACTTTCAGAAACCTTTTTATATAACTGAATTTCAACCAAAACCAAATCCGTTGAAACCTGGCTGAGTTTAGCCTGGGACTCCTGTCAGTCGTGTTCGCCCTGTGCCATATTTGGAATTGCAGCATTAGCCAAGTGTAACTCTGCGAGTCACAATATTGCCTAACTGTGTGTCATCCTTTGTTGGGACTGAAAAACTGTAAATACTACCTTTCTTTGAATCCGTGTTTTTACTTTTGCACGCATTATGAATTGTTAAACAAATTGCTTTTCACCAGCATCTTTACTGTTATTACCAAAAAAAAAAAAAAATGTATATAAAAGAACAGAAATTGTGAAATAAAATATATAAACCTACTTAGGTTTGAATGAAATAGCATATCTGGGCGGAATCAGTTGTGTACATCATGGTGCCCGTGTGTTTGCAGCAGTGGGTACCGGAGGAGGATTATGTGGTTACATTCCAGGGGATGTGGATCAGGAGCTTCATTTAGGAGATTATTGTGTGCATCTCTGTAAATGACATGGAGGTAACTGGTGCTTTACAGAAAAGGACTCTTTCTGTTGATGGCAACACTAATGGTTCAAGAGTTCCCATCAGTCTCACAGATCCCCTAGACCCAGGGGATTTCCTCAGAGTGGGGGGTGGGGGGAAGCAGGGCGTGGGTGCTACTGCACAGACCTGGTGTGACGTCGTAACACCAGCAGATCCCAAAATTCCCCATGCTCACAGGTCGAGGAAGCGGTTCCCAAAGCCATTATTAGGGAACCTCCAATGTGGAAAGATTCCTTTTCCTATGAAATATTTTGCCTTGATTTTTAAGCATCTGGATGCACTTTAAATGAAAGCCCTGGGTTATTTATAAATTCATAGCTGGCGGTGTTCCTTTTGTAAGCATGCACTTCTAGGGGAAAGGTAAATTATTTTGTCAGTCTTTTGATGTGCTTTCTAATTCCAGAATTAGACATTTGTTCAAGGACTGCTTTAAAAATAGGAAGTTAAGTAGCATGCTGTCGGAACTCTGGGGAGAGTCCCACCTCTTTCCGTAACTCTTCGGTGTGTTTCTGAGGTAGGACTTCCTTTGATGTGCCATGGTAGGAGTTTATTATCAGTCCTTTGCATTTGTCATGATTCAAGGTCAAACAGGGTCCGTGACATCTGCAGTGTCCATTTCATTTCTTTGCATGAATCTGCTAAATAAGCTTTTTATTGTTATTTTTCCCTTTTTTGTTGTGTTCAGTATTTGTACATTAACTTGCACTTGTTACATGTGATATGAATGAAATAAAATCTTAATTACAGATTCCTTTTACATATGTATGATTTTTAAGGAGGTTATTAAATAGGAGAGGTAGGGGAAAACAAGAATAATATCATATCTAAGAAAAGTTACGTAAGGCTTGGGTATATATTTGAACACTTACCTGGCACTTACAAGACGCTGGGCTTGATCTGCTCCACTACAAAGCAATAACAAATAAGCAACAGCAGCAACACTAAAGATGCCACAGGACTGGGAGCTGCCTGGATGCTGAAGTGCCTGTTACAATAGCATGAGGAAGGACCTGAGTTTGGAGTCCCAGCACCCGGGTAGAAACCGGGCACATTTGTAACCCCAGGGCTGTGGAAGCAAAGGCAGGTGGATCCCTGAAGCTCATTGGCAGGTAGCCTAACCTAATTTATGAAGTTCAAGTTTAGTTAGAGACCATGCCTCAAAAGAGCCTAAGGTAGTGGGGCTAGGGAAGGAAGCTGATGGGCAGGGACACTTGGATCTCAGCCAGCCTTAACTCCATTCCCAGGGGATCCAGCCCCCTCTTCTGGCCTGCACAGGCATTAGGCACATACATGGTATACAGACTTCCATGCAGGCAAACACCCATACTTGTTTCTTTGTTTTTAAGGAGAAGTGGGGTGGAGAGAGTAGCTAGCTGGGCAGGAAGACACGGGAATACAGGAGACACTTCTGGCACACACAGACACATACGAACAAGTGCACATACCACACAGAGAAAGTGTGTATGACGGGGGACAACATAGCAGTCTAAGGACTGTAACATTGACTATTAGATGGTAGGATAGGTATTAAAATAATTTTTTCAAAAATCACATTTTCAGCCCAAGTAGTTTTCATCCACACTGAGAAGTATTTTTCCTTTCTAATTTAAAGTGTATGTTACAATGAAGGAGATTTTTTAAAATGTTATTAAAGATTGTACTCAGGGCTACGCAGAGAAACCCTGTCTGGAAAAACAAAACAAGAACAAAAGATTTCACTCCTTAGCAGTATGCCTTTCTGTTGGAGGAAAAGAAAGCACAGAACCTTCTTGGGTGGCATAGGATTCATTGTGGTCAACCGTGTGATCTTTCACTTTGCATCACTACAATATGGTCTAGGTGCTAAAGGAGGGAGGGCTAGGAGGGCTGGTGCTAAGGCATCCCTGGAATAGAAGCAGGCTTAGGACGAGACAAAAGGGAAGGCTGTGTGGGCAAGGTGCACTGGGACTGTCCGTGCGCTTCTGAAAGATTTGGAGCAATGTGCAGGGGCCAGTGAAACCTGTCTGCCCTGTCTACGGGCCCACGTTGACCACAGACTGCATTCATGCCTCCTACACTCAGCGGACTCACACCCCAGAGAAAGCAGCGTATCTAAGTAAAGCAAAGTTGAATGTTTCCCAAGTGCTGGTACCAACCACGCTCAGAGAGAGACACCTGGAGAAAGGCAATCACATGTCTCTCCCCATGCCAACACTTTCCTTTAGAGCCCAGCTGTCCCAAACCCTACCCGGTCTCTGCCCAGCCTGAGGACAGTGACACTCAGCTTCTCTCTAAGGAAAGAAGGACTTAAGAAATTAGTAAACTCAGAATTAAGGCAGATTGTGGGATTTTGTTTTTAAATAATTTTCTTTAATTTAAATTTGAAACAAGCTTGTTTTACATGTCAATCCCAGTTCTTGCACCCTCCCCCCCTCCCCTGTTACCCCCACCAACCCCCATCCCATCCAATTGTGGAATTTTAATCAATGGATTTGAGTAATAAAAGTTTGCAAGGAAGTTACTCAAAGAAAAAATAATAAAAATTTCAGCAATTTTAAAAAGTTCATTTGATGAAATAATCCAGAAAATTCTTCCTTGAATATGTTGCAATGATTAACACATTAAAATCTCTGCAATATCTAGGGTGACCTCCCCCGATCTTTCCAATTAGGAATTAGCGTGCTATCTGATGATACTATCAAGGCACACCTTAAGCTATTATTTTAAAGTGTTTGCTTATGCAAGATCCCAGAAGTACTGTCTCACCATTATTATGAGTGAACAAATAAATTTCCAGTGTGACCATTGAGCATGGGCTGAGCTTGTAAGGAAGGAGCCATGGAAGATAGATACCCATGCCCACCCTGTGCCACAAAACGGCTTACCAAAGAGGCTGCCTCAGGACTGCCACTGTCCTCCTGCTCAATATTGATAGAAGGAACCCAAATCGTATCAGACCAGGCAGGCCAGCTAGGTAAGGAAACCAAGGAGTATGTGCCTCTTTTTAAAACATTAAAGTTCAATATGTTTCCAATCAGGGTTCTAATCAAAGTGACTGAAGAGGCCACTGTCCAACTCATGGATTTTCAAGCATCACACTAAGTTAAATTCAGGGTCAGACGCTAATTGGGATGATTTTATCTGATAATGTCTTTTAAAAACTGACACTCCTGAACATGGAACCTTGACCATAGAATACCTATGAACTCAGATCAAATTCAAAGCTTTTAAATAGTAGTTTATTATCAACCGTAACAAAGAGCTTAAGTATCCAAGTTAAGGACAGAAGCCTCAAAAATTCACTGACACTTGAGATAACATGATTTTTCCAATCCCTACCTCTGAGGCAACCCTAAATCAATCTGCAATTGTTTATGAAGCTTCAGCCACCCTGGAGGTTAATTTGGATAATCTTAAGTGATAGGAGGTTGAGATCTAATTTCCTTTTCTTTCAAGAATGGAAAACAGGGACTCTGCACATCAAAGATCATCGTCTCCAGGAAATTAAAGGTTTGGGACAGTCTTCTTGGACACTCAATCCCAAACACATGAAAAGCAGCCACCAAAGAGGCCAGAGCTGTGACGCAGTCATCCACCTTGGCAAACATCTCTTTGTTCAGATACAGAGAAAACTCACAGCCATTGATGTGGAAGGGGTTTTTAACTCCCAACACCGGGGTGGATGTGTGTACCTAAAAAAAGAGGAATGACATCACTACCCACTGGTATGTAAAACAGCTAAATGATAAAGCATGCCTGAATATCACACAATATTGCAGTAAACGAGCTAGTTACAAGATAGCCTAATGGTAATATGATAAAATGACTTGAATATACTACTGACTTTACCGGTAATACCAAGGTATAAAATGAATGGCCAAAATATACTGCATACCTTCTCATTCACAGCAACAAAAAGGCTGGGATCATCTCCAAAAACATCTGGGAGGAGTAAACATGTGGCGGTCATCTTCATATCTGTCAGAGTAAGCATGTCCAAGTAAAAGAAATGGGTAAGAACAGCTATCGTGTAGATGTGGGGTTTGCTTTCTATTAAATTATCACTACCTACCAGTGTGAAAAGCAAATCTCCTCAAGTATTTCACAGCCAATTTTTTTTTTTGCATGTGTATGTGTGGTCTGTGTACATATGTGTTTGCTTCTTTACGTGTGTGGGTGTGCACTCAAGTGCATGTGGATACCCAGAGTTGACACCCAGTGTCTTCCTCCACTTATTTACTGAAGCAGGGTCTCCTGTTCCACCTGGAGCATGCACATTCAGTTAGTCCTGTTAGGCAGCTTGCCTCAGAATCCTGTCTCTGCCTCCCAAGTGCTGGGATTGCAGATGGCCAGCACACCTGCCCAGCTTTTACAAGGGTTCTGGGGTCCAGAACTCCCATCCTCACTAGCACAGCTACCCTGATCACCTCCCCACTCTTCACAACCATTTTTAACAAAGAGGGTAAACAAAGGTTTACCCTCTAGGTCATGGCCAACAGAAGCCAAAGTTCTGGGCTGTGCCCATTTGCCAAGAGGATTAATGTGTTTGGCCTTATGGTATGTCTTGTAAGATTAAAGGGTACTAGTGCCCGTAATACAACGTTCTAATATTGAGTGTACTTTTTTAACCCAGGCTTTTCTCTCTCTCTAAGCTGTTTTCCATCTCACTGACTTTTACTGATTGCAATGGAGCACTCTGTCTGTGGCTGCAGAAATGGCTGAGACCCTCCACCCCTGGGCTTTACTGACTCTTCAGCACTCCCTCATCTGTGCAGTGTTTCATCTTCTCCTGCAGTGCAGAATGGATTGGGTGGTCCACCAC